AAAAAAAAAAAAAAAAAAAAGCAAACATATCCGTTCCTACCAGAGTCCTAGGACTTTTTTTCTGTTTTCGTTTTGAGTGCAAAGAACATCAAATGAGCCATACTGATAGCTACAAAAAAAGTCAAAGCTAGGATTTTCCTTTTGATATTTATTAGAGTTAAATACTCTTCAACTTTTTATATATCTATATTTATCTAGATTTATATTTATATATGTAGATATATAGATAAAAATATAGATGTATAAAAAGTTGAAGAGTATTTTGCTTTCAGCTTGTTTTAGGTATGGAATTACCTAGTTTCTATTTTTCTTACATTCCAGTGAATTATTTTATCAACATTCAATAACCACTTATGTATAAAAAAAACAAAACCTGAAAATGCATGGATTAAGTAAACATGCTGTGAAGGCACTTTTTGAAATGATTATATATGGACAAGGGACTGAAGTGTTATATTTAGGAAGTGTAGTATCTCAGTAATGTATGTTCTGATAAGACATGGGGGAATGTCTGAAAACCAGATCAGTAGTTTTTAGGGAGACAACAGCAAATAGCGCAAAAATGTGCATGATAATTTTGAATTCTGCTTCATAGTCTGGTGGCAATGAAGAGCAGCAACAATCTTATAATGCCATATTACACACCAACACTTCAATCCCTATCACTTTAGAATTATGCCCACACTATTATGACAGCAAGTAAAGTTTAAAGAATAACCTGGACTGAAGAATATATGGTAAAAGATGTATAGTATGCTACAAGGCTCTTCTTGAAGAAAGCACATAGTACTGCTATTTAAACCCATGGATAAACATTTGGGACAAAAATGGAGTCTAAAGCCTGGGGAGTGGGGGGGCCAGGGAGGGGCACACAATGTAAATCTAAACAAAAAATCTGCCTGTCCTAAGACCAGTATAAAGCACAGCTAGAGTACGTCTTCTAAAGGTTTCTTAAAAGAAAAACGACAGTAAGAAAGTTAAATTGTTCAAAGATGTCCAATTGTTCCCATGGACATTTCTAGTTGAGCTTTTTACTTGATATTTCTGTGCTATATCACAAACACATACATTTCCCAACTTCACCATTTAAAAAACTGACGTAAGTCTCTGCACTCCCTTGCATAGAAATGGTGGTTCTATTTAGTTACAAGATACTGACCCAAGATGTACAGAATTATAGACTATGATAAAATTACAGATAATTCACAAAAAGTGAACGTCTCATTTAAAGCACCTTGGTAAAATAGTTTTTTTATTGTGCCTCTCTGTTACACGGCTGGTTTAGACACTGGTTGAGGGAAAAAAAAAATCACTCCAAGGTGTCTGAAATGTCACAATAGAGAATTTGGAAAGAAACTCTGAGAAGTAGCAAAGTAATCTTAGAAAACAAAATGGAAAGATCACCATCATCCTTGTTACTTTGCTTTATAAAACTTTAAGTTGGAAGTTCACAAATAATAAATATATGATACTGCTCGTATTGGTTTTGTTTGCTTTTTTCTTAATATACTTTGGCAGAAGTGGATCAAAGGACCTGTATATCCAATGGAGAAGATATATAACTTAGCCAAGATTACTCTGAAGTGTCAAAAAGAGCTTAAAATCTAGTATACGGTGGTGTAGGTTGTAGCCGAGTTGGTCTAATAAAAGATACCAAATTAACCCAAAGACCCTTGTCTGCCTAAAATCTAGTATTACTTTTCACTGGGTGCTCAGAAAGTTGCAGGTTGGAGGGGAGGGGATTTGGGTCTGAGGCAGTGCTAAGTGCTGCCGGTGAGCCCAGCTCTGCGCTGTTGCCAGCAGGGCCCATCCAGAGATGCCTGCCCCTTGTGGCAGTAAATTTAGTCGGGCTTCTGGCCTATGTGACTAGGAAAACAGACAAAGACAAGAAGAGCTGATATGGCTCATTTCAGTTACATGTTTTGAGATAAGGAATCCTGCATGTCTTATTACCCTGTGCACAGATGTCCAATTAAGTAAACTTGTTTTGGTTTCTCCAAGGTCGTATTTTTTCTCTTTCTCTGTCTTAAGTATAAATAAGCTTGTAAACTTATAGAGTAGGAGGATTCCTTTGAAACAGACAAGTAGGTGATTCCCCTTGCTGTATGAAATCCTCCCTGTGATCACAGCATAGCCCTAAATAAAGAAAAGCTGGCTCTGTCAATTCTGATTCAACCACAATGTGAAGTTTGATTTCTTCCACACCCTCTAGAGGGGGAAGGGGGCGAGGATGGTCCTTCAGGGGTGGCAGGGAGCTGAGGGGCTGAGCTGGGGCCCATGTTCTCAGGTGCAGGGCGGTTGGGAGATGCTGCTGGGGGCGAGGCATGGCCAGGCCTCCTGGTGCACTGCAGGAGCCCCAGCCCAGGGCAGGGGGTGCTAGAGGTATCCCCTCCTCTTTCCTCCAGCCTATGCTGGGGCTAGACTCACTTCACTGCCACCTGCATGAGCTGGAGCTGTTGTAGCCACAGCTGCCATGCTCAAGCCCAGGCAGGACGCAGACTGCCTGGAGACCTTCGCCCTCCTGCTGCCTGCGGCATGGCTCAGGCCAGAGTCACACTCGGCTTCATGCTGCTGCTGTGGAGTGTGGCACTGGTCCTCCCTGCCATGCTGCAGTCCCAGCCCATGGTGCAGGGCAGTATGTGGTGCCCCAGCAACTGCCAATGTTTCCGCATGGGATGCATCTCATGCCATCCCTACCATGTCCCCACAGACCACCATCCTGTGAGTCTGCGCCAGGTGGGGAAGGGCACTGGTAGGGCCAGGGGGCTGGCAGTTGGGAGTGAGGGTCACTGGAAGAGATGAGGGGCTGTGGGTTGGGAGTGAGGGGCATGGGGGAGGTATGGACTGTATGTTGGGAGTGAAGGGCAGTGGCAGGGCCAGGGGGTTGTGTATTGGGAGTAAAGGGCACCAGCGAGGATGGAGGAGCTGCCGGTCAGGAGTGAGGGGCACCGGCATGGCTGGGTGTGGGGGAGGTGGGGGACTGTGGGTCAGGAGTGAGGGGCGCTGGTAGGGTTGGGGGGCCTGTGGTTTGGGAGTGAGGGGCATGGGCAGGGATAGGGCAGTGCCATATTATCAGGGCTGCTCAGCACCACAAAGCGTCTGGGGGGACAACTGCAGCTGGACCCACATCCCGGTGAACAAAGAGGGCAGGGGGAGCTCTGATTTTCCATAATTAAAAAAACCTAAAACAAACAAACAAACCCCCAAACACCAAAATATATAGGCATTTAGAATTTATTTTATTATAATGATTGAGGCACTGGTAGGCTTCCAAATTGCTTTACAATTGTAAATATATCAATACAACATTGTGTTCAACTACACCTATATATATTTTCTCTCTCTCTCTCTCTCTCTCTCTCTCTCTCGAGGCATTTCATTTTAAATCGTGGAAAAAATACAGCGGTGTTTAAATCAGACAATTTGGGATTTTTAAACTGAGAAAACCAGGATCCCTGGTTATGACTCTGGAAATCCTTTATTACTCAGCAATTAAGGATGTGTTATGAGTTTCTAAACTCTTAAAATCTTTTCTCTACATAAGCCGTGGTTTAAAACAAACAAACAAACAAACAAACGAACAACAGTGAGGCAATTGGATTTTTTTTTCACGTTGGCAGCATGTTCTCTAGCATAAATCCACTGGAAGATGTCACACATGCTACCCTTAGGGGAATACATATTAATACCTGACCAATCCTGGATTTGTGTTCAGTTCTTTATAAAAGTTGATCTGTGTTAGTAATACACATGACAGGAGATGAAATGTTAGGATGGTTAAGGAAATTAATGCTGAAAAAATAAGTCCAAAGTAATAAAGAAAAGAATCAAAGGCATCTCTTTAAATGAGAAAGCCTTATTTTTCCAGGTATTAGATTAAGTTACTCTATTATGAAAGAAACAAGACTAATAAAAGTAACAGCACAAATGATGCAGTAATTGAGGTGTCAAAATGCAGACACCAGGGACACCAACATGACAACATTCTACTTCCGAAGCTGAAGTTCATCCGTGTTACTGTTCTGGAGACAATCAATGCAAGCGTCATAAAAAAAATTATGGAGGTTAATTTCTATTATGACTGTTCCACTGATGAGTTTTCAGAAAGGTAACATGGACAACTTGAACGAGAGTAGATTTTCTATAAAACTTGAGTTAAAAAAAGGTTTGTTATGGCTTCATAATGGCACACATAAGAAGCAGGTATGACCCACTGCCTATGTGCCAATACTTGCTAATACTGTGTTGTTCCACTTTCACGACACAACAAGTACTTTAATTTCTGTCAAGGTCATATATCTTTAAGTCAATCTCCCAGGAAACTGACCTGCTCGAACTCTTCCATGTCCACTTCACCGTCACCATTCAGATCAAACATTTTGAAGGCTATTTCAAAATTCCTCTGGGGAGCTACATAAGAAAAAGCACAGAGACCAAATTTAAAAATACTGATCAGCAAAAATATTCTCTTAAAAAAAGAAAATTACAAATTAGGTTACCAGTGAGGTCTGTCATTAGTTGGTAAAAATTTATTATGGTATCCAAAAGCATTTTTGTACCACTTATCTATCAGAAAATATAGTTAATGTTTTATTTTACGTAAGAAATGAATGAAATAAAGCATTGCTATGCTTTTCCAGTAGTTGGATGGCCAAAAACTCAGCCACCAATCTTTTTACAAAGAATCCAAAGGTACTATATTAAAAGGCATGTCTGAACTAGCAGGAAACATTTACTATGTTTTTTTCCAACTTGAATTAATATCCTACTTTCTCATGAGGACTGAAAAAAGCAGTAGTCCAGCAAAACAAAAGTCAGTCAGCATCTGATATTTCTAATACGGTGCCATTATTTCAGTGGTTTAATTTTGGACCTTTTCCGTACATCAAGAAGCAGCACCCCAGAATATAATTAGGTGTGTGTTGGTTAATAAACTCCAGTACTCTTTGGAGAGACAAATATATTTCGTGGCATGGAATCAGAAGCTAGACAATTTGAGTTGCATTCCACACACTGCCTTGGGCTCAGTCTTAACAAATCAATCTACTCTTAAAATGTTTTCTGACAATTTGATATGAATTAATTTTTCGTCTTGTATAATCTGGAACCACTTAGCTAGTACTTAAAACTAGACTACAGCACTATCCCTCCTACAACAGAAAGTGCCCCCAGCATAATCTTGATCCACTAGAGCCAAATATATACCAGCAACATGTAACGTCTTTAGGTATGCTGAGTACCAGCAACCTCCAGGGCACCAACTCGCATTTAGGTCATGATTTTAAAAGCCCAATTAAAACTCTTATTTCTAATACAACTCAGTTTGCTACTGCAGTTCTAATCCAACTGGAAAACACAGGCTGCCTAATGAAGTTATTTCCTCTTTTCTTAAGAGTCAGTCTGTTTGAATTTAGTATTTCCTATCAGTGATATTTTCTAAAAATTATTAGGATTACTGGGTTACTTTGCAAACACATGTGAAGTACAGGTTCTGCCTCAAAGAGTTTAGAATCCTAAAGAGTAAGTAGGAGCCCATCCAATGGCTCTGCTTCCACTGAGTTTTAGTATTAAAGTCAATGTATTAACAGACCTGGGCAGACAGATCTTCAAACAATTGAATATGACAAAGTAACATTAAGTGTAGGATAAGCTACCGTATACCATTACACTAGAGCTGCAAACAGACATTGCGCCTTTGTGCCACCATAAAAATTTTGATAGTGACATAAAACACTCAAACAGAAAGAAGTTTTAGTCCTTTATCACAAGATTGCAGCACAGCTGATAATGCTTCAAAGACAACGTCTGTCTCCAGTCTCATTATCCTCAGCCCTAATTTGGCCAGTTCACCCATTAGCTGTGGATACTTTAGCTTCTGCAGTTAATTAAAATTATTTAAACTGCATCACAAAGTCTGGGGTATAATATATCCAAACATCTTGTGAAGATATTAACATGTTTGAAACTCTGCACAATCCTGCAGTGAAACCTAGCTTCTTCTTCCAAGCAGAAAGAGAAAAAAGTGCTGAGGCCTTCCAGGGTACATGGAGGACATTGAATAGACAAAAATTTAATGTGTACTTTATCAGCTCTGGATTTTGTATGTTTATTTTCAGCTAATTATGCTATAACCTGAATTCAAGGTCAGAAGCCTCTCTCTTCCTAATATTATAAAAGCCTCAGTAATTTACTATGAAAAGATTCAGTACGGCAAATGTAGAAAATGTGTTAATGAGGTTGCTTTCTGAATAATTTTGTACCTTAAGCAGATGCACATCATCATTAAATTTGACTATAGGAATATCCTGTCCCCGGCCTGTTGATATACACAGCCTATCCAGAGCTACAACTACATTTTGATTATCTCCCTTCTTCCCATATGAGGTGACATTTATTTTTTGTTTTGAACTAAAAGTGTCAAAACATCAAGAGCACAAGAAGTTTGTCCAATAACCAGGACACTTAGCCACACCAGAATTTTCCTTTCAAATGAAATATGCAGCTGTTGAGAGCACATACAAGTTTTCTGTGCCATGTAAGCACCCTAGGATCTGTCCAAAAGAGTTACGGGACCACAACAGCACTTGCAGGAATGGGTTCTACAACCCTTGCAAATGACAAGGGTTCACTGGTACCATACAAGCTAGAACTAAGAGCTGGCTGTGAGGAGCTAGAGGCAGGCCAAATGATCCTGGATTGTGCAGTTAACGGCTCTTCAGGTTGGACTCCCATGACCTCCAGTGCTGTGTAATGTTGCTTGCCTTGGCCTCCATATTTCATGTGTGTCAGCCATGCTTAATATTTTTGGCCCCACAGGCCAGATGAGTTGCACAGGGCTGGTCCATGGGTCAGATTGGGCTCTCTGTGCCAGGATCAGTTGCCATGATACCCCTGCCCACCCTTGCACACCAGGATTGGGCTTCAGGGACCTGTACCAGTCCTGCAGGTCCAGAAATTGGGCAGCAAGGAAGCTGTCCCGTTGTTCCTCTGCTGCCGAGCTTCTGGACCCATGGGCCAAATGACAACAAAAAGGGACTGGTTCTGCCCTGTGGGCCGGGGTTTGAACACCCCTGAACTATATAAATCTCAACTGGCCCGCAGTGAAACTCACCATTTAGAGATTAAACTGTTTCACAAGCTCTGCAAAAAAAAAATCAGTCAGTCAACTTCTGAAGAAATTCTGTCATTTCTGCTTTCCATAGTTTTCAGTGATCCTTCCCCACCTTCCCTGAAGAGCACCAGCAGTCATCACCCTCACCCAAACACCTTCCTAAAGTTTAAATATTACACAGAAGTTTATACTTTTGAATTGGATGTAGCAAATGAAACCATATCAGCAATTTCTCTGCAATGGAGCATAGATTCACTGTTATGTTGAACAGATTGGTAGAGAAAAAAGGGGGTATGGAGAACTGAAATCAAGTTGTAAGTTGATATTTACAAAAGCAGTTTCACATCTTGTTTTTTCCCCTCAGCCCTGCTGCTAGTATACAGTAGGTAGGGACCTACCAAATTTGCTATTTTGCAGATTCCACAGGAAAAACAAACAAAAACCTTATTGAGCGCTGCGGCAGCTCAATGGGGCATGGAAGGGGAGGCGAGGGCAGAGGGGCTGCTCACTCAAAGGGTTGCCAGCAAGGTAGCTGTGCCCCTCCCTCTTGCTACTGATTGGCAGAAGGGTGGGGCCACAAGACAGGCAGCCCCCACAGCCAATTGACAGTAAGGGGCAGAGCCATGGGGGGGCCCCTCAGCTAGAGGTGTGAGGGACTCTGCCTGCAAAATGGCTGCCCAGGCCAGTGTTCTGTCTGTGAAATCAGGGGGGCAGCCCCCGTGAATTAAGTAGGCCCTTAACAATTGGCTATATTTTAAAGTTGGATATATTTGTTCTTCCTCTAGTTTAAAAAAAAAAAAAACAGTCAAATTTTAACAACACACCATACTACAGCCATTCATATAGACACGGGGAAAACAGAGAACAAGAAACTCAGCTTATCCTTTAGAAAGGACCTTTCTTCCCTTCCTCCTTTCCAAGCCTTTATACAAAAGTCTAATTTCAAGAAATGTTTATTAAGCCATGATGCAAGTTTACCACTTTCAAAGTTCAAATCAGAAATTCACACAAGGAATTATGCCTGATAAAGATCTGCATCCTCAGAAAGTCACTTTTCAAAGTGAAAAATATATGTAAATGTTAAATGGATAACAATCATATTTCTTTAAAGAATAATCTACAATGCCTATTTCTTACTTCAACATGCATGTCTAATGTCAATTATTTTTAAAAAACCTTAGATGCACACAAATGAAAATCAGTTGCAGAAGTTAGAAAAGAGGAAAAAACATACTAAGCCATCCAGCTTCCTGTTAGAACAAAATTGTACATGTTCTGGTCCTCAGGCAAGTGCAAGTTTTTGCTGCTGTTTTGTCTTGTGGTTTTTAAAAGAAGTCCTTATCATAGCTGGTAAGGAGTGCTAAGACTCCTTACCAGCTAAAAACTGCTGCCCCGAAGGTTTTTCCATCTACTGATTTCTCTGTGAAATTCTGTGAAATATGAACTTTCATTTCTACCCAGGAGAACTTTTACAATCTTTTTTTCTGATGCCTGATGAAGCGTGTGTGTGCCTGAAAGCTTGCAATTAAAGAATTTTTTTTGCAAAAATCTTGTTGGTCTAATAAAAGATGTCACCTCTGTATATGGGCCCTGATAGCTTTTTCCTCTAGACCAATATGGCTAGAACCTTGATACCTAAGTTTATTTAAGTCACTCTTCTACCTCTCAATTATGTTATTCTATACTGAAGTCCCTCTAAATTTGCCAGTATGCCTCAGATATTAAAGGTACCCAGTACCAAATGAAGCATTTTAATTGCAACTGTCCTCAAAATCACAATATGATTATCTCCTTCCTTTTTTGTGCCTTGATGTCTCTGACATAGAAGGCAGAGCAGAGATCCACCTTAAGACAAGTAAATCAGAGATGCATAAGCTTAATAATAGCATCTGATGAAGTGAGCTCAGGCTAACGGACTAACACGGCTAACTACTTCTCTCTGTGTACATGATCAAAAACTGCTTTGGGGTTTTTTTTTGTTGCACAGTTGTGTTTCAAACTCTCTTCATACCCATATTTAGCATTACTGTTATCCAGGATTTTTTTCATTCTATCATCTTCCCCTTGAAGATTAAGCTTGCATTTTACCAAGATCTATTTAATTTCCTTTTCTACCCTTGCAGCTAATTTCTCTCTCTATATAGCAATAGTATAGTCTTTGGTATTTACAAATGTTATTAATATGTTGTTTACTCATTTCTAGACTATTATTAAAAAAAGATAAGTGAAGGTGGGCTGCATAACAATACCTGTGCTAACTCAGTAGACATCTTCCTTCATAAATTGAGGCACTGCCTTT